AATAACAAAACAAAAATAGATTTATACAGAATTATTGAAAATATATTTCTCACAGCAATATAATAAACAATTACTAAAAATATAAATTTTAGTATATATAAATATATAATAAATATAGATTAAGCTTTTAAAATTATTATTAAAAAATACCAAAATTTCTTACAGTTATTTTCTAGAACTAGTCATTGATGTAATTGAAAAAATGTTTTTATTATTAGAACATTAATAATTGCAATTATTATTCTGTTTTTTTTAATATCTATAAAAAACATTTATCTAAAAGTTATAATCTAATTTTGTTATTTGAAAGCTTCAGTACCTCTAAATTATTTAATCTATTTTCATTATTTCAATAATATTTTAAAAATTAATTTATTTATTTTTGTATTCTTATTATCAAATATTATTAAATCTATTATAATTATTTTGTGTTTTAGATAATTTTTTAAGGTTACTACATAATTTTTTTATTTAATATATTTTATTTGTTTTTTAAATAATATTTAAAATATTTAAAATTAGTTATTTACATATTATTTAATTATTTAAATTATATCATTTTTAGTTATTTAAACATTACTTATTTATTGAATTTCGTAATCCATAAAATTAAAAGTTATACTATTATTACATAATTTCATTATTATTTCAAATATCACAAAATCTACTATAATGGTTTTTCTACTTTCAATAAAATTTTTAAATGATTACATAATTTCATTATTTTAACTATTTATAATTTAGTTATGTTAAATATTTCATTATTTAAAATATTTAGTTATTTAAAGATGTCAAATAGTGTAGATGCAATTCTTTTTGAATTTCTTTATTGCACCCTCAACACAGAAAGTGTTCAAAATCTTGTTTGCCACTTCATAGGTGGAGCAATTTTTCAACATAATAAAGCCATTTTTCTTAACAAACTCTGTTTGGTTGCATATAAAATTATCATAAAAAACAAAATAATTTCCATTAATTGAATAATGAATATTAGGTGTAGGAAAATGACAATCCTTAATTTCGGATAGTCTTTTTCCAAACAAGGGCCTTTCAACTCTTCTGACAACCATTCCGGTTCCTTTCCAAAGCCAAAAAAATAAGAAACACATGTGACCTTGTGGCTGAGTATAGGATGAAGTGAACACAATTCTGATTAAAGATGGTTTGTATTGGTTAAATCAATATTCCCACATGGTTCATGGTTTGTATTGGAACCACATGGCTCCCACATGGTTAATGGTTTGTAATGGAACCACATGGTTCCCACTTCCCACATAGTTATGTCAGCTAGTATGAACTAGTATGAAGATACAATATTAAAACATAAAACAACAATTAGTGTTGAAAAATTGTTAGGTGTGGACTGATATACACTACACCTTGTGGTAAGGACCAATTTATACCATACCATTAGGGTTGTTCATAAGAAGACCCAACTCAATCAAACCGACCAACCTAGACCAATCCAACTCGAGTCGGCCGGATTTTCTTCAGCACCGGTTGGTTTTGGGTTATAAAAAATCATAAACCGATGGTTCGGGTCGAATTCGGTTTTCATATGTGAAAACCAAAACCGACCCGAACCGAACCGACTTAGTAGTTAGTAGTTAGTTCCTAGTTAGTAGTTACAACCTACTTAGTTCCAAATTAACTAAGTTGTCTCTATCCTAGTTACAACCTAACTTAATTTCTAGTCTTCTAGTTAGGAATGACATTAATGGCAAGTATTGTAAGACAATTAGACAAGGAATTTTTTTGGAAAAGTTTAAAGAAAAGAATCAAATGATCCTAGTTTTTATKGTCTTTTACACCAAATAGGCAACCAATTACAATTAGAATTTGGTGTCCTTTTTTACTTAGATTAGAAGGTTTCTTGAAATATACAAATTTCAGTCTTCTTTCTCTAATACAGTTTGACTTTCTATTTTCTTGATAACTTCTATTCTAACTTGGTCCGCCCCCCTACCAATCTCAGTCTTCTTTCTCTAATAGAAATAGGTGTCCTTTTTTACATCAAATTTCAATCTTCTTTTTCCAATTTATCAATTTATTACCATGTTGAACTTAGAGCCGAAACCGACCCAAACCGGCCCAACCCGACTCAAACCGACCAGGTCGATTTTGCTTAACACAGGGTCAGTTTCGGTTTCAATTTCAGGTAACCCAACCAGGTCAGGTCGGTTGGAGAAATCTCAGTAAACCGACCCATCCTGACCCGTGAACAGCCCTACACAACACAGTCTACAGTTATTTTGAACTGTGGATAGAATGTGTGAACCAGACCAGTCCACACCCACGGTAGAGTTCTCTAGGTGTGATTTGAACTAATACATACCATACTTTTTTATTCCATGTATCTCATATACATTTTATGGGAGATTTACACAGTTGATCATAAATGTCTAATTTTTATATTTTATATGATAAATAAATTGAAAAAAGGCATCAATATGTAAACAACAATTACATTTTTTAAATAATTAAAAAATAGTATTTTAAATATTAAAAATAAAAAATTAATTATTAATTATTTTATTGATAAAAATATTAAAGAAATAATATTTAAATAATGAAAAAAGAGTTGAGAAGGAGAATTATCGAACTTGTGCTAGAATTAACATTAAAAATTATTATTTTTTGATAAAATATTAAAATTTAAAAATTATTAAAATATTAAATAAAATGAGAGTAATTGGACCAATGTAATGCAGGTGCTAGGGGTGAATTCAAGCCGAGCTGAGCCGAATACTACCAGGCTCGAGCTCGGCTCGAGACTATTCTACAAGGCTCGAGCTCGGTTCGAGCCAAAACCTTGAGCTCGAGCTCAGTTCGAATAAAAAATTCATAAGCTCGAGCTCGATTTTTAGAAAATATTTTATAAAAATAAAAAATTATATATAAAAATATTTTTTATTTGATATTTAAAAAATTAATAATTATAATATTTTTATTTTATATATTATTTCTATAATTTTATTATATATATATATATTTGAGCCGACTCACAAGCCGAGTGCTAGTAGGCTCAAGAACGGTTAAAACAGAACCGAGCTAAGCTCAAACAGCTCGTTACCACCCCTAAGTACACAGAAACCTTCCTACAAACTGTCTACACCATAGTATGGTGTAGCCCATCCCTTTCCACGCTATTTTGTGAAAGGAAAACACCATTTCTTATAATACACGGAACCAAAACCAATCCAAATTTCCTACTCGTTCTCTACCCGCACTGAATTAAAGTCACACATCTCTCGATTCATAATAGAGATGCATACCTAAATCCACGACGGGTAGAAAAAGTGAATAGAAAATCCCGAGTGACGTAGCTAATACGCATGATATTGGACCAATCACGGTGCATTGTGCACATGTACACCATGTATTTCGTAACACGTGATTTAACGTGAACCCTCGCAATTTTTGTCGGCTCTCTCTCTCTCTGTCCTTGTTCCTCGATCTCATCCACTCATCTACAATTAAGCCCGTACCATTACCTTTTTACCCCCTTTAACATCATAAATGCAATTCCAGATCACCTGTCAACAAAACAGATTCCAACCCTTTACTCACGTGATCTCACACCGCAGTTCTCAATTCTCATATAAGCGGTTCCTACTTTTTTCTAATCGATCAATCCCAGTCTCGTGGTGAGATATAAGGATTGGAACATGTTTTGTTGGCAAAAGATTTTAACTCCATAAATGTTTTATTAATTTATTGCTCATAAAACGGTGCTCACCGTATATTAAAAATATCTTATTTTTCATGGAGAGAGATTCTTAATACAAAATTACAAGCAACTGAACAAAAAGTGTAAGCACAGTCTTAGTTCTATTACTTCAGCGGCCACATTTCCAATCTCTATTATGTAATATCTAGCATACTCCATCCCAGATGCAGAAGAGGAGTGATTGTTCGATATTTCAAAATCGGGGGCTTCTGTCTCCTGTTTAACCCAATAAAGCATTCTGGGCCTGTAGAACTTTTGGAAGGGCCACAACCGAAAATCTGGTTGGCATATTCAGTATGATCAGATGATTTGCATCCATAGAAGCTTCCTTGTCCACAGTAGCAAGAACACATGATTTGCATCACAAATCGCCAATTCAGTGTGATTATTTGGCTCAGCTTGACGGGACTTATGAGAGGGCAGTGTGACATTAGGCATGTGGACAATACACAGGTTGGCCCACTGCCTGATATATACTTGATGCATCCTTCTTAGTGTTAGACATGATGCGTGCGAAAAAGAAATCAAGATGGAAGAAACAAGAAAAATGTGAAAGAAGATGTCCAAGTGTCCTTACCCAACAAGCAGGCAATCCCACGATAAAAGATACTTCCGGTCGTATCGTGTAGTTTAGCGAGTATCAACATCAATTTACAGTTAGTTCTTCTTCCACAGTCCACAGACGGGGAAAGCGGTGATATGACGTGTAACAGTTCTTCCTTCATGTACGCCACGTGGCTCATTTAAGTCGGTGGCAACTTTTGATAATCAAGCAATCAAGCTTGGCTGCTGAAATTCAGGGACTAGATTGATGGGTTGGGTGGGTAAATGCGTCCAACACCCACTAACTTCAACACATCTAATCCAATATTGCTAGTTTTCTAGGGTACCCTCTAACTTCAACACATCTAATCTCCTTTGTTTTTGCTGCATACGTTGGTTTTGGTTTTGGTTTAGGTCGTTTTATGCTTGCTAACATAGACAAGGAACACATGGACCCTCACTATCTGATCCGATGCATGCATAGGTCACTGCACCCCCGGCCCATATAAGGATGAAACGAGAGTTGAGAGTTCAGCCCTTAAAAGTTGATGACATGAATATGAACATGAATGAAGATCTCATAGGTCATAGCCATGGACAAAGAGGAGCAGTGGCCCCTGCATTCGGTGACAATAGATGTTTCTGGTAGGAGGTAAGTTGCTGTCAAAGATTCAACCCAAGAGCGACCCTCTTGTTAATCAGCGCTATGGTGTGATGGATTTCAATGCTCATCTAGAGGGTTGATGGGCTTTCAGAAGGGGCAATCGCACAACGGCCCACATGATTGATGATCCATCTTGTTGGGTAAATGAGGGACAACACCACTAATATCTATGTTCATCATGTGTTGCTTCCCCCAGCTACCTTGTCCTTAAAAAACACACATCCTTCCCTTTTAGGATGTTATCCGTCTTTCCCTCTTTCTCTAACTCCCATTCCATTCTCCCCCATAGCTGAAGTCAGAAGAAGACTACTTTGAGTCAGGAAAGCAAGAAAGACAACTGCTCTGATGTCTGGCAGAAGATCGAGAGCTTCAACACTCACACAGGATGAGATTAATGATCTTGTCCTCCAATTGCGAGCTTTATTACCAGAGATTCGTCAGAGGGGCACAACCGGGGTAGGCTATGACTCTTTGTTTCTCTCTTTAATTTATATTTCTCATTGCATGTCTTTTCTTGCGTGCTTGCATGTTCAATACAATTTTCAAGGAAACCATTACGCCTAACTCTCATCACCTGGGTACAATTAAGCTTCTACTGGATAACTTGTCGGTGTACGTAGAACAAGCTAAGTGCGAATTTTTTTTTTATTTTTTTTTATTTTTAGTTAGTTGATACAACGTACGATAATGTGCAACATAGGCTACACCTTTTTTTTCTTTTTAATATAAGAAGTGAGATGGGTGGATGTGGGTGTCGGTGGTCTCAGACCGAAAAAATTGGAGCCCGTTTTACATTTGAAAGTTTTGTGTGTGATGCATTGTTGCTGATAGTTAGTTATTTGCCAATTGGGGTTGAATGTAGGTGACGATGTTGGAGATTTTGAAAGAGGCATGCAATTACATAAAGAGGCTACACAGAGAGGTGGATGGCCTAAGTCAGAGACTGTCCGACCTAATGGCTTCTGTCAATACCAACAGCCCTGAGGCAGACATCCTACGGAATCTACTTATGCAAGAATAGCAGCGCTCTCTCTCCCCAAGTCACCAGTCTCACCCTCTATGCCTCTATCCATCTATCTGTAGTTCGTGTATGTGAATGCATATTTTTCAATGCAATCTCCTACCAGGCTACCACTTCCGTTTCTGTTGTCCTTAGCTTCAGTCAACTCAAACAAGATGACACGCAGATCTGATAATTAAAGACCCACTTTTTTATGGGCCCACTATATAAAGGCCCACTTGAGGTTGAGGGCTTGAGGCGTGCCGCGTGAGTCGTGAGGGCCTGAGGGAGGAGCACTACCGCACTAGAGTTGGCGTATCATCCATTTCCGGGAATGTTAGCCTGACAACATAATAAGAGAACTTTTTAGATTAATGATTAGTTTTATTTTCTTTTTTAACAACACCTCACACTCGACTGTGATGCTACCAGAAAGACTTGTAACCAATCAACAGGCATTAACTATAACCAACCAAATGGATTTTCATCAAAATTCACTCAAAACCATTCTAATATTACCTTTCCGGCATCAAAATTTAGAGGTCTCACTGTGATGCTGGAAAGGCATGATACCGTAAAGACGTATAACCAATCAACTGGCATGCATTATAACAATGGTAACCAATCAGGTGAGTTTTCGTCAAAATTTATCGGGATTTTACTGGTCAAACCCTTTCCTGTATCATAAATTTTACATATATTTAGATATTCATCAAAATTCAAAACTGTTATTCGTTATTCATTGATAAAATTCATGTCATGCTAATCCCAGCATATCTAGCTTGTAACTAATTGACTGCGTTTGAGGCAAATCTGGTTCAGTCCTCACAAAATTATGTTCACAGCCTTTTCAATCAATATACAGCTGAAGTGATGGTGGTCAGTCTGGAATGAGTACAAATACAAGACCTTGTATTTTGTATGTATTTGTATTTGTATTCATTTAAGAGGGTATATCAGAAATGGTGGTCACCAAGCCACAGAATAATAATTCATTCAACCCAAGTGCTTAAGGCTCAGTTTGGAATGAATACAGATACAAAATATGTAGAATGTAAGACCTTGTATTTTGTATGTATTTATATTGTACATATTTATATTTGTGCTCTTTTCAAACTAAACATAAGGTTGTATTTAGTTGCAATGCAAAAAAATTTGCACTGATGCAAAATTATGACAGTGCAAATGATTTGAATGTAAATTTTCATCTTTTTTTTTTTAATTTTAATTTATTTTGTTTGATTACAGTATAAATGAAATAAACTAAGACATGAAACAGAATAAAATAAAATCCAAATCAAAATTAAACAAAAATTTACATTTTTTACAATTGCACTCCCATACATTTATACTAATATAAATACAATTGCACTTCAACCAAACACAGCCACGAGGAATATTGAAATTTCATTGAGATACAAGTCGATGGAGAAAGTATGCTACCAAATCGTCCAAGAAGCACGCATCGAAGTTGTCATACAACCACATACACAGAAAATGGCGAAATGCAACCAAGAAGGAGACTGGATCACCAACGAAGGTCATCTTATGCAGGATAGGGTGGATGTGTTGTGAGAGTTAAATTATATTGCGCTCTCAGATACCAAAAAGCAGCTTCGTTGGAATAAGAAGATGTTGCAATCTTGAATTTTTTGTTTTTTTTTTTAATTTTATTGTTCTCCTCGTTTGGAAACTTGGATCTGCTCCTCACACCTGGTGCCTCACATGCACATCCTACCATGCATTGAGAACATCTCCCGTACTTATTAATTATTATTTACGGGAATAATTCCCAATACACGATAAATGTGCATACGAGACACCCATTTGTGAGGAACAGATCCTGTCACCCTCGTTTGAGTGGCCTTTGACTTGGACTCAGATGGACTTCCCCACAGAGTGCGCCCTGCATACATCTAAGAGCCCATCTCCCTGTGCACTGGAATCGGCTCTAGTACCTATCATGGGGAAATGTTCGCCAATTCATGGGTGATGGGCTGTGGACTGCGTGTGGGGCATGCTCTGTGGGGAGCCCATCTCAACTTTGAATTAAGATTTTAAAAACTAAAACAGACTTGAAACCATTTTGGAGACTGGTTTTTAGGTCGAATGGTCTGTGTCCAATTTAAATGGATGACCTATTCTAATTTAAAAAATAAAATAAATAACAGCAAAAAACCATTACCCAAATCGACAGTTCAATCGTCGGAATCAATGAATCACTGACCAAATCAATGATTTCTTTACCAAAAAATGACTTTAAGGTGAAATGAAACCAGTTACTTAACTAGTTCCCGGTCAATTGGTCTGACCGTCCAGTCAAATCCGATTTTCAAAACCATACTTTGAACATTCCACATAGTGAAACAATGAGTGGGCAATTAGCAAATTGGCCATTCATTGTCATGTGTAAGTGACCAAGATTTTCACCATTTTCAGTCATCCAAATAATTTTTTTTAAATAAAAAGTACCAAATAACATATGAAATCCGGGTCATCAAAATAGTGCCCTAAGATCTGGACCGCCAAAATGCTTTCTTAACATCGAGGAGTTAATCTCAACCATCAAGTAATGTATAAGATTTTAATTAATCTCAATCATACAGGAAATATCTAAAAAACTATTTAAACTATACAAGGTTATATGTCAAGTAAGATAAGACCCACAAAAACGCCTATTGCAATTAGTTTACGAATTTCAACCATCCAAATGGTGTATAAAAATTTCATCTAATCTAACCCATCTAAAAAGCCTTCTCAAATCAGTCAATAAATTTCAATTTTCAACCATCCAAATGGTGTATCAAGGGTTTATCTAATATGGCCCGTCTAAATGATGTATCAAGATATCTAATCTAGCATTTAGCACATCCAAATGATGAAACAAATCAATCCAAAAATGCAGGTCATCAAAGTGGTTTCTTAATTGCAGTGAACTTATCTCAACCATCCAAATAATGAATCGAATTAACAAAAAAATCTAGATCTTTAGAGTAATGGGTTAATATCATCCATCCAAGTGATGTATAGATATTTCAGCCATGATCCAATGTATTTCAAAACTAAGCTGATACAACATTTTTTTTCATGGTAGATTTTATGGTTTTTTGATACACCATTTATGTAATTTGATTTTGCTTTTAGAAAATTTCATGCAATAATTGAAAGGATAAGATCATTGAAACAATGGTATATACTTGGATGGTCATGATTAATTCATTACGTTTTAGAGACCATTTAGATGGCATAGATTTCCAGGTTGATTTATTGGATGGCTTATTTGATTGAAATCCTAGTAAATCACTTGAATGGTTAAGATTACTTCACTAATTTTAAGAGAATATTTCATTTCCCTAAATCATTATGGTGGTTTGGTACATCAGCTGCATGACTTGAAGCCTTGAATATTAAAGGGAAGAGGCCATTTTACTGATATTTGGACACTAAATCAATAGACCATATATTTAGTTTCATCTTCCAGGGCTACCAAATCATGACTCTGTATAATGTATATATAAGAATTATTTTATATTTTTATTTCAGTTTTATTTTATATTTATTAAAATGTTAAAAATTAGGATTTTATGATAAAATTGGGGTTTTGGAAAAAAAGTGGGGCAAGGCACCTTCGGCCACTTGGAACATATAGATCCCGAAAGGTTAATCTAAAATCGATATAAAGATCACCCTAGTTAGACAACTAAACACTAGGGGTGCAACTTGGGTGGGTCTAACCTGAGCCCAAACCGGCCCAGCTTGAAATTTTACATGGGCTATACTTGGATTTTCGGATCTTGGGCTGGGATTGGGCCTAAGAAATCGAGCTTTTTTATTTTTCAAGCCGGACCTTAGGCAGCCCGAACCCGGCCCAACTATACACACACACACACACACACATATATATATATATATATATATATTCATATTTATCTATTTACGTACATATTTTGTTTACAACATATATACATAAATATATGTATACATATTCATATAAAGGCATATATATATATATATATATATATATATATATATGTGTGTGTGTGTGTGTGTGTGTGTGTATAATTTTAGAGTGGGTTCAATGGCCAACCTGACCCCAATGCCCAATCAGAGTGCATCAAATTACAGTGTAGATTGGGCTTGACCTTGGACTTGGTCCTGGCTCAAGACTTAAGCCCAAATTTTAGGGCCACCATAAACCCAGCCCAACCCGCCCAACTTGCACCCCTACTAAACACAAAGTTATGGGTCAATGATTCAACCATTCAAATCAAACAGTTTTTAACCAAATCAACATTTTTTTATCAAAAGTTGAGTCTTAGATAAACCAAGCCCAGAATCTTGACCAAGCCACAATTTGACTGTGGGTTGAAATCAATATTCGGAAATATTTCATTTATTTGGAAAGCCATGGCATGGTTAATGTTTGTGTAAGCCATAAATAATAAAAAAATAAACACGTAAACCTCTCTTAAATCACTAACGCTATGTTTGGTTTGAAGGAAATTACAAGAATGTCATCTCTCTCTCTCTCTCTCTCTCCTTATAAATTACAAGAATGTCATTCTCTCTCCAACTGAGAAAGACCTCAGCTTGGCATCTCAACAACTAGGGGACTTGTAATCAAAAGTAGTCGAGTTCGAGCCGAGCTAAGCTCAAACTTTTGAGCTCAAGCTCAAGTCTCTAATTCAAATCGAGCTCAAGCTAGACAACACCGCAACCACTGAGGGAGATCTCGGCTCAACACCTTGACAATTGAGGGAGACTTCAGCTTCGCACCTTGTCAACTAAGGGAGACCATAGCTCGACACCTCGCCTACTAGGGAAACCTCAACTTGACACTTCGGATCGGCACCTCAGCTGCTAGGGAAACCTTGGCTCGGCACCTCAGCTGCTTGAAAGACCTGCAATCAAAGGTAGCCGAGCTCGAGTTCGAGCTCAAGTCTCTAATTCGAATCGAACTCGAGCCTGATAGTTTATAAGCGAGCCCTTGCTTATATATATATATAAAGGTTTTCAGACTACAACCCCCACCATTCAGACATGTGGCTTTTTCAAATTTAGACACATGGCATTTTCTGAGAAGTTGTTGTTAAAGCCCAAATCCCACTATCACCATTCAAAATAATGGCCATCTCATTTTATAGAAAACTAGACATGTGGCAATTTTTGAAAAATTCCTGCTAAAACCCACAACTCACTACCATGCTACAACTCCCCACCATTCAGACACATGGCCTTCTCATTTTTCTAGAAAGTTAAACACATGGCATTTTCTAAGAAGTTGTTGCTAAGGCCCACAACCCACTATCACCATTTTCAATCCATTCCTAAAGAAATGCATAAAATACAAAAGTAGGCATCCACAACCACTTCTGCCTACATTCTATCAATTTCACTTAACCATTAACCCTCTACCTATCATAACCAAATAAAATTATGCATATTCTAATAATTATTGAAAAGCTATTTTTTTTTAAATTTTAATAATTATTTAAAATATTAATAAATATAAATTTAACATTATTGATTTCATAATATAAATTTAATATTACTGATTCCCTATACTTAAATACGGGGTCATTCACTAGTTACAGATCATTAAAAGAAAACAAAGAAAAACAGAATAACTAAATCGCCGTTGTATGGGTGCTGGCATTACGGCTTCTAACTCCTGATGTGTATGGGCCTTATTCCTAACGTCTATGGATTCTAGTGGGCCTCGACCGGGCACGCGGGCTCAATCTACTCCGATGGGTCTCTCACGGAAGAAGGTGTCGTAAAAGTGGGCTGGGCCGAGGTGTCCATTTGGATTTATATCACCATCATAGATAATTGCAGGGAGATAACTGTTACTAAGACGCCTCACAAGTGTTTTGGTCAGCCACACAAGGAGACAAGCTAATCAGCCAGCTCGCCTCTTATTAGCAAAGTTTGCCGAAATCGTCAAAGAATTATTACTTGGCACTCTTGCCCAGTTTTTATCTCTCAGGCTGTATCTAATGACATGTACGACCGAATTTAATCTTTAACGCAATGCAGTTTACTAAAAAAATTATTCATTTGGTTGCTGAGAAAAAATTGAAAAACACAAAATATTCCATATTCTATAAAGGCTGTGTTTGGTTTGAAGGAAAAAGGTAGGGAAAGGAAAAAAATGTAAGGAAACATTTGCAAACTTTGTATAGATTTTTCTAGCTTTTCCTTCCTTTCCCTATATTTTCCTTCAAATCAAATATGAATGTATGGATGCCTTGTCACAAAAGATGGCATTGGATTGCATTGAAATGATGTCACCTCGATCGATAATAGGGTAACTTGGTGAAACCTCCACCCTTGAACTTCCTAACATTGTTGCACTATACCCCTTCTATTATCTTGAGCTAACAGAAGTGGCAAAGTTGGCAAAATGCCCAACTTTGAGCGTTTGAATCGTCTAAATTTGCCCTTCCCTATAACATTGACCATAAAATTTATAAATTGTGTTCTTTTTCTACAATTTCTGAATAGTCCTCTTTCTTTTGTTTTGCTTTACTGCAATTATGATTTTTTGGTTGAAATATTTTTTGAAAAAAACATCATTTTTTTCCTTTTTTTTTGTTTGAAATTTTGGCTTTTTAGGGTGTATCTTGCATTTTCTTTTTGTGTTTTGAGAAAAATAGTGTGGTGGATATGCAGATCAAATAGGATGGGTTTTAGCCGAGATCGGATTTGCTCATCACAGCACATCATAGGTGTCCATTGAGAACATCTCCCATACTTGCTGTGAGGTTGGTGTAAGGAGCACTCTGTAAGGACATCGGAATTCATTCCAACCCACTATTCAAACATGATATAGATGATTCTTTTTAGGTTAATTGGGTTGGTGTAAAACCATATGTTTTTATCTTTGGGCATTCTTGACATTTAAAAATGTTGAGATGATGACATCAACAATTTTGATTAACATTCTAACATCGAGATAACGGAAAGGGCGTAGATGCAACAATGTCAGAAAGTTCAGGGAAGGATAATGCCATTAAAATTAAGTAGCACAGAACCACAACTATCAGAAAGCACAAAGGAGCTTTCAGCATTTTTCCCATGATAATATCGGGACATTTGAGATATAATAATAATAATAATAATAATAATAATAATAATAATAATAATAATAATAGACCTTGTCAGAGTAGTGTTGACCTTCTCTAACCGAACTACAATGCTACAAAGTAGTGTCCCGTCCGGCCCACACCCACCCATAGGACAATATAGCCACTTTGGGAGCATCTGCCGAACTTGTATGTTGTCAAATTGTCATCCATTCGGAGATGTTCCCAATGTGCAGTGTGGTGTCCTTTGGGTAGGATTCTTGTTGGCGGTAGATCTTGACTGACATAATTCCATCGCCATTCTAACCTCTTCCAATGATTTGGGCTTACTGTAGGGGTGAGCACATGGGTGGGTCCAACCTCAAATGGACCTTGAACCGACCCTACACTTTAAGGGTTTCTTCTTTGTTGTACCTCATCAGCTGGTGAAGGTCTATCCTGGATTTCATGTACATAGATGCCATGGATTCCAACTAATTGTTGTTTTAAGTAGTATGTTAAATAAGGTTAGTTATGTAATCAGCTATGTTAAATGGATTGTTAAAAAAAGTCAATTGTTAGTTTAATAGGCATTAATTGAGGAAATTAAATTTCAATTTCAATTTAATAAAAATTACCATAATAAGATTATAATTGGGTAATACGGGTCATGATGGGTTTCAAACGGGTTTAAAATCAAAGGTACCTAAGAATAACAATGGGATGGGTTCAGGGCAGGAACATTCCCCATCCCCAACCCTGACCTTGAAACAAACCCCACCCCCAATCTCAATCCCCACCGGGACAAAAGTTACCATCCATCTTCAATCCTAATAGAGATAGGTTCCTGCATGGATCCAATTCCTCAAATTTTTTTAACCAAAATAACTTTTTAAAAACTAGATTTACTTAAAAAATAAAACATAAATAATATTTTAATATATATAATATAAACAATATTTTATTTAATATAAATAATAATTTAATACATATAATCAAAATCAAAGCACCGTCCCTCACCCATTAAAGCAATCTCCATCCTTGAATCCATTAGGTCAGGGACGATGGATAACTGGCAACAGTGGAGTAAATTACCATATGCCACCCATATAACTAGGCTGCTTCGAGAATGAAAAAGGCTATTTTAGCAAGTGCCCTACACATTGCCATTCCTAGTCTTCGTATCCCTACTAAAGCTCATTGCTGGGGCAGCGACTTCCTGTTAATATGCTCATATTCTTTTCTTTGTTTTATAAAAGATTATATATAGTTCTTTTTCGGAATAATTGCATGTATTAAATAGTAGTGATCCATTAAACAAAAAGCAATATATATATATACACAAAAGAACCAAGTAGTGCGCCTAGCAAATGAAAGTACCAAGTAGTGGTGCAAGACAACTCATCCCAGCTCTAAAAAGAATAAAAGACAGCTCATCGCCATTGCAATCCACAGCGTCCTTTTGTACCTCCCTTCGACTTGTGCTACTGCCTCGGACTCGCCACTCGCGGCGTGGCGTGGGAAACTGAGCGTTAGTTGGGACGCATCATGCAAAAGCAAAAGTACAAAACCCCACCCACCCCGCCATCCTGTCTTTACTTTTATATTTTTCACCCAATCAATCAATCAAAACCTCTAGACCTACGTCGCAGCAAGGCACCGTTTGGTATTTCGCTTCTCGAAATGACCACAAATCTAACGGTCAAGGTTTAGTAAAAAATGCAAGTGTACGCTTCCAGTGGAATATAAAAGGGTTTTAAGCCAAAAAAAAAAACAATTTTTTGCCCTGAATATCAATAAAAGATAATATTTTTATAAAATAATTAAAATAAAGTAACTTTTATGAAAAATATAAAAAAAGGGCAATAACACTGTTCATTGTCTTCCTCTTCCTCTACCTCTATGATTATTTTGAAAAACATCATCGAAGCTTCAAAAGTTTCAAACTTCTTATCTCTCTTACGAAGCTTCAAAAGTTTCATTAAGATCCAGGAAGCTTCGAGTTCTCAAAAGTCCCACATCGGGTTTGAGGTCATCTCGAGCGGATCTCGTCTGCCATGACGTCGCGTGCTGAAGCTTCCTGATTCATAAAAACCTCGCGTGCTGAAACTTCCTAATTCAGAAATTGGAAAACTCGGAACTTCCTGGATCTGGAAAACCAACTTGCATTCTTTACACCACGCGTGCTATAAGATCTGTTTTTCCTCTTCAGTCTTCCCCTATACAACAACATCGAATTCAGGGAGAAACGAAAAAAGAGAGAACCTCAAACTCGATGCGATGCTCAGCTTCAAGAGAACGGTGTCACTGCGATTTCGGAATACTAACCGTGAAGAAGAATGTGCCTGTGCCGTGCTCCGCCTCTCGCATGAACAGTGTATTCGGATGAATAAGAGGCAGAAGAGAATGAACAGTATCATTGCTCCTTTATTAATATTTTTTTAAAAAGTTATCTTATTTTATAAAAATATTATTTTTTATTGATATTCAGGACAAAAAATTGCCCGAGACCCAATATAAAATAGCGGTTAAAAAAGACGAGAAACCAGTGCCAAGTGTGGAAGGAAAAATAATCTGTTGCAACTTCCTATGTAAAAAGATCCTACACTTGGATGCAGGGAGAGTTTACAACGCCTATATCAACTCTCTCCAGAATGCATTAGATGTAAACCCTTTCCTATCTCTAGTTTAATGATTTTTTCTTGTAGCTAGCTTACAAAAAAATATATAAATAAAAAAAAGGCGGACGTCTACTTCCAAGTTCCAACAATGTTCCTCAGTCCTCACACAGTCACACTCCTCGACATCGCTTAATAATAATCGTTGATACCCATAAAATACTATCAACGGAAAATAGAGAGCAAAGCAGCCTCACATATTGCCCTCAACAAACAACGATCAGGACATAAAAATGTCGGTCTATAACGAATGCAAATATCATGTCAAAGATCTTTTTTTTTTCTGTATCTTTGACTTAACACATTATGCGTATAATAATGTATATTTATGTTAGTTTTCCATCCCCCAGTCTAAAGATTTTACAATGACAAAAATTCATGGTCAGTTTCTCAACTGTAGCCCTCCACATGAATACTTTCTTTTCCTATGTTAATTAATACAAAAAAAAAAAACAAATTATAAAGAAAAGTGAACCAAAAAACAAAACGAAACAAGTTACCTTGTTTACGCTTTCCTTCTGGGTCCTGGCCTTAGGAGCGGGCTTTCTCTCGCGGACGTTTTTACCTTTGGAACATTTCTTCCCTTAAAAGTTTGCTTCTCCCTTCCGCATGCATTTGGATGTTTTATCTATTCGACAGTTGACAGTTGCCCTTTCCAAGGGCCTTTTGGTCATATTCTTAGTGTACTATGATATACCAATCCCTATACAAAAGTGGGAGTCAGAGCAAGCCCCCACCCCATCCACCCAGAGCAAAAGTTCGTTGTCTAGTCTATCCTCCATTACAAATGGATTAAACGTAAAACATTCCCACTTCCCAAGACCAACAGAACCCATTTCAGGTTTTAGCAAAATAAGAAATAGGCAGAATCTGAAGCAAAATAGGTAACCCTTCCGCTACCCTCCTTTTCTTTCTGGGTATTTCCACTCCCTTTTTTTCTATTCCATTTTCTTTCCAGCCTGTTACCAATTTAGCTCCACCCGTAATCCAAATTCTCCCACTTAAAGGGGGCAACAGAGCCTATATCAGGGGAGCCTCGAAGGAATAAACACACACAGACACACACAGCTGCAATTGCCAGCATAGAATGGACGTAAGGGCGGTGAAGTAGGCCTTGTGAACCTGGCATCCGCTTATAGTACCTTGTTGCCACAACTGCACACCTGGCACAAGATCGCCGCCCTTGCAATGTTTCAGGAAGCGGCTTGTCAGCTTGTTCATCTATTATCCACGATTGATCCAGTGAGATCTCATCTCCAACTGGTATTGAGACCTGACCACGTTTTCTTTCTGCAAGTTTCCTGGCCACCATCCTGTTGTAGGAGTGGTTGTTCCTCATCAAGGAATATGTAAATGGAGTCTGTCCATTAGCATCAGGTAGAGAATTCCAGCACTTCAATCCAATCTGCATTTCAAATTCATGCCAAAAATAAAATACATAACAAAAAAAAAAAAAGATAAGCAAGCAAGCTGAATAATCTAAATTCAAAAAAATCTTGGTGAAAGCTAAGATTACCTGTTGCGGGTCATTTGTGAGAGAGTCAACTATTTCCTCCAAACCTTGTATGCATGCAGCCAAATGTAAGGGGGTCACACCACCTGGTCCCACCGAATTTGGGGGGAAAAGATATTGCTTGGTGTTGTCACCAAGAGTCACAGAATAATGGATAAGTAAGTCAACCATGTTCCTGCACTTTCTCTTCACTGCCCTGTTCAAGAGTTGGATATCCGACAGCAACTCTATGGATGCTTTCGGTGGCCCATCTGGACCCAAGTTTTTTTCCACTAGGATGTCCAGGAGCGTTTTAACCACAGCGCACCAGTCTCTCTCAACTGAAAAGGTGAAGATAAATTTGAACCGTGAATGGGAGAAATTGGGACCCTCTGGCTTAGAAGGGTTGCTCTTCCTTTGGAATAGCCATCCAAGCTCATTTAGGAAGTGCAGAACATCCTCCCTGGACTGTGGCCGCCCTAAATCCTGAAACTTATTTTCTGTAACGATGCAAGCTGTTCTAGAAACTTGATCAAACTCGGACTCAAGGCCTCTTAATTCTTGACAAATGGTAGCATCGGCAATTATAACAGGAAAGCAGTTGCCCTTGAAACCATTCTCTACCTGCCCATACACAATTGGATAAATTAGAAGACTAGAAAATTTCCAGAAAGACATAGGCTGTTAGTTTGTCTAGCATATTACACAAAATAATCAGGTGTAACTGCAACCCAAGGGAGTTCTCTCAAACATGAATGGTTTTCCTTGTTGTGATTCAAAATTTTCCATGAATTGTTGGTTGTGTAATGGTTTTCTTATTTCCATGTGATCTCTTAATTTCTGTTTTCAAAAATATGACTTAAGTTTGAAATTATGTTCCATAAAGCAGACGATTTTCAGATAGAGTTCGATTAAGTGGATATTAGTTCACCTTTCTTTTTTTTTTTTTTTTACTTGTACGTACTTTGGACCCAAGTAAATTTAAATATGGGGTTGGTATAATCCAATAGAAACTTTAAAGCCTGGTACAAGTGTTTATAGGAATTTGGTATACATGCGACACACCAAGCCCGCATCCGCCTTGCAGAAATGAAAACATATAGTTATCTTTTGAAAGCATATTTCATTGGTTGCAGGAATAACAATGCTTTTATAATAAAAATGAATCCATTTGCTTCGAGGAAAGACACATCCAAGAATATATTCTTTTCTTATGATAGGCATTTTTTCGAAACAAGAAAAACAAAAGCATTCATGTTGGAGAACACAACTTTGGTGTTTCTGCCCAAAAATAAATATAAGAAAATGTTACCTCTATGAAACAGCGACCCAAGACGCCAGGAGCTCCACCAGGAAACTTGAATCTCTCGAAACTTGTATCATCATACATAGCCACCTGGTAGGTTGATCCTGGAACTTCCTTTGTTTTATACCCTCCCAAATAAGTGCAATGAATCCTACACAAATATAAATTTCATTATGCTTTATTGTTGATAATCAAGAGGAGAGAGAGAGAGAGAGAGAGAACCATTAACTTACTTGGTGCCTGGAGCTGTCAGATTTCGACCTTTCAGCACCAGAGATGTCTCTTCTCCACCAACAACAGCCAAAGGTGAAACAGAGATTAGCTCCGGAGCACTCCATGTTCTCCAGGCTTTGCATAGTCGGATCTTTCCTGAAGGTTCATTTCAAGCAGAAAAATAAGGAAAAGGGATAACCACAAATTTGTCAGAACCTACTAAGTTGGGGATTTATCCATACGGGATAAGGGTTCCCAGTTTAAATTAAAAAGAAAAAGAAAAACTAAGCTTAAAAATTAAGAATTATCTCTTAAGATTGAACCCATGCATAAGATGAGCATATTGCACTGTCAGAGAACAAATCGGTCCTTACCATCCTTATGTGACACTAGCTGCCTGTCTGTATGAACCAAAAATCTCCCATTTCTCCAAAAATCAGAAGCCGAACCTTGAACTAGTAATTTGGCAAGATGAAAAAGGTTTTTCTGGAACTGCAAATTAGACACACCATGCCACTTGTCAGAACAAAAAAAAATAGAATATAAAACATTGCAAAGTCTAACTGATGTGAAAAGCACTTACATGCTCCCAGGCGGTAGAAGGCATTGATACATAAACTGAAAGAACCACACAACCAGGCCTAATGTAACTCTCCATCTCTGATGGACTATGAGATAGCCAATTAAGGATCTGAAACACAGGTATCAATGGCATTTAGTCAAGTTGAAATAACTTGGAAAATAGATGAGGAAAAAGTCGTTTCTTACTTGTGAGCGTAGTGTGCCAGGGAAATTACTAGGATCCTTGTCAAATAGTTTAAAAATAATTCTTCCAGTGCGGTCCTGTGCAATAACAAAAAGCAACCAAGCTTCAATTTCATAAAAATACACATGACACTAATGGTTACGTTAATTGAGGGGGAATAAAAGAAAATAACCTGAGCATCAGAATTTGAACTAGAAGGCGAGTGATCTGATCCAGATGAAGAAGTGTATCCTCCTTGATACTGTAGACTTTGAACTGAACCATTTCCGACCCTTCCATTTTGCCCTTTAAAGAGTTCCAGAGGTGAAGTCCAATCACGAGTTGTGCTGGTCTCAACTGTTGCATTATCCTCACCACTGATTGACATTCTTTCATGCTTCAAAATTTCTGTTTCAGCATGCAGAGGGAATAGTTTCTGCACAACAGGAGAAGATGAAGGAGACCTCTCTTCCATTGGATTACTACTTTCCGAGGAGAAATACCTCCTGGAAGATCCCAGTTTAGGTGGGCTACCACCCTCAGGAGAGGAACTAAACAGTTGAAATGGTAAACTTGATTTAGGAATTTGGGCATGGCAATCTGGAGTCCCCACTGGAGATTGAAAGGTGCCATTATTTCTTTCTCCTCCAATTGAAGTGTACCTTGAAATTGGCTTGTTCTGTAATCGTGAACCATCAGCTTGGTCAAGGGAGTTCAATTTACTTTTATCACCATCATAACTATGGTTATTTATTTGAGACAGAAGTGCAAGAGCATCAGGGTTAGATGCTGCCAAGGCAGCTGATAGAACAGCAAGCAAGTCCATGGTGGAGGGAGAAGATGTATTTCCATTTATTTTGTTTAGATTGTCTGAAGAAGCTTCTTGTGAAACATTCAAGTCAAAACTACCAGGTACAGGCAACCTTGGCCCAGAATTTCCAGAAATGGGTGAAGCATTAATCTTGTTAAGAATCTGGATAAGCCGTTCTCTATCTGGCAATGATGAAGCATTGGCACTTCTGTCCACATTGTTACCTGCAATTGCAATTATAATCGGCTTGAGTAAAATCCAATGGGATGTCAGCAACTATTAACACCATGAGAAAATTTATTTTACCTTGTAGCCGAGATAAAATAGTTAGCAGATTAACAACATCCATGTTCCCAGTACCAGAGTTCTCCCGGTTTCCAGGCCCCAACAGCCTTGAGGAAGCGTCCTCTGGTTGGGTTTTCCTTCTTCGCCGATTATGTCCAGCAAGTCTTCGCCTACAGCTTCTCTTGCCCTCATCAAACTCTGAAAGTGGGTGAAATCTGCAAAAAAAAAAAAGAGAAAGAAAATTTAAAAAATACTTCAAGCAAGATTCCAACACATCAGACCTACAACCACTGAAATTTCCATTTAAGAAATTAATAAAACAGGAGCCCTGGAAATCTCAACCTAAGACCCCTGTAAGCATGCCATACTAATCTAAAAACAAAAAGAAACAAAGAACCTTAGCCCAGTAAAACCTATAGGTCATCATCATTCATGCCTTATCTCAACTATGGTCGGCTACATGGATCCTGTTTCGCCAATCGATTCAATTTAATGCCATATCCACTGTTTCGTCAATCCAGTAAAACCTATAGATATGAAATTAAAACAACACAGGATCTGATCACTACTCAACACAAAGGTTACCTACTACACTGCTGGCAGAACCTCTGCATCTGGCCGCCTACAAGAGCCTTGGTGGTTTTACTGTGAAATTCGCATACTTTATGTCTACGGTGATAGTCCTTTGCATTGGACAGATCTCCTTTACAATCATCTACTTGACACATTGGATAGTTGCCACTACCAGGAGATCCAGATCGAACACGTTTATTGGGCCTTGCCGCAGATTCATCCACTGAATACAAGCCCCCACCAAGCTTCAAAGTAAGCTTCTCCCCGTCTTCATCCACAGAGCCCTTCTTCACAACCAGATTCTTCAAGGTTTCTTCTCCTTTCTTCTTTTGTTCAGATTCAACGACTGCGGCAGTCCCCAAATGAAGAACCTCTGTCTCTGAGGGCTTGGCAACAAACATCATACTGTCCCAATCCCAACTGCTAGGGTTCCAATTTCCCTTGGAGCTTTGAAAGACTGAATTAAAACGTTGGTGCTGCTGCTGCTGCTGCTGAAAGTTAGGGCTTTGCCATGGCAGATCGCGCTTCTTTGCCATGGCAGGTGCTTCACAGAATCGACCAGGCAGTGCCTGATGAATGAAAATGGGCGGAAAGACTTGAGCGCCCACATCTTCCATCTCGTCAAACCTTATATTCCTCAGAAACTAAAAGAAAGATGGTCTGCGCCGATTTGAACTCGAACAACCTTGATTCTGCAAAGCAAACCAAACAAAAATAATGATAAAATGAAAAAAAAAAATGAAGACAATAAAATAAAAATCGCTACCGAAAAATAAATCTTCATGTAAGCTACTAATTGTAACGATAAAATAGAAATCGCTACCAAACATAAATCCTTATACAAGCTACCAATTACTTGATGCTGCAGTTAAGGTGTAGTTCGTATGGAATATGATTTCTCGTTAAAGATAAAAAACCGAAAAAAAAATTAACATCAAGACACCTATCAAAAAAATCATGAAGACCCGTTTTTCTTTCTTTCTTCTTCTTTTTAATTCTTGCACGTTCGTAAAATGAAAATTATGCAGATGAAAAGACTAGACCAAACCATCAAATCGCTTGAAACAACAATCAACAGTTCGAATCTTAAGACACAAAGAAGACTTCCGAACTTCTGAAGTAGGATTCTAAACAAAAATAAAAACAAAACATCTTCAAAGAATACTTCCGAGATTTTGAAGCTCGATTCTAAACAAAAATAAAATGCAAAATAACCTTATTCATCTTCCCTTTACCTTTACGGATGTTTAGAACTCCTTCCCACCATGTTTGACCTCTGGAGTTGATGGCTCAACCCTGTAAACTTAACCAAACACTAAAAATCAAAGGATTCATAACTAGGCCACCGACCAGATCTAAAGCCGCCAGAACTATTGCACGAAAAATCAGTGCCAGAGCTCTTCAAGATAAAAACTTGGAGCAGGAGAAGTTCCTACTATCTCTCTTTAGTATTTTTTTTTTATTTGGTGGAGATGGTGATAGTATTCTTCCACAACTCCTAACTTTTCAGCAAAAAGAAAATCCGGAAGAAAGAACAGGGATTTTACAGAGAGAGAGAGAGAGAGAGCGCAGTGGTGAAAAGGAAAAGAAAAAAAAATCGCGGACCCCTTCCCTTCAATTATTTCATGGCGTATGGCGATAAAGCAATAGAGGAATTTCTGAGTCTTTCTTTTATTTCATGCCCTTCTCGCTTCCCTCCTGTCCGAAACAGAACAAAGCACGGACGACTCCCTTCCATCCTGCGATAGATGGCATACCAGATCCTAACCCACCACTCCTTCACTCACTTTACGAAATTACAAAAATGCCTCTAACGCCGAAACTGTGACACCCTTGAGCTCATCTTACGTGTTAGAGTTATTTCTGCCAAAATCACCAATCTACTAATGATTATTATTATTATCATTAAATTAATAAGAATAATTTGAAAATAAAAAATAGGATAATTTTTTTCAAAAGAAAAAGGAAATGAAAATAAAAAATAGGATAATTTTTTTCAAAAGAAAAAGGAAATGAAAATNAATAGGATAATTTTTTTCAAAAGAAAAAGGAAATGAAAATAAAAAATAGGATAATTTTTTTCAAAAGAAAAAGGAAATGAAAATAAAAAATAGGAGTCGCAAAGAAACTTCCAAACACACCGCTCTTCTAGTGCTTGGCTGCTTGCTGGAGACAAAATACACCGCTTTGAGAACTTTGGGATAATTACAAGTACAAATTACAATTTGTTTTTTTATTCTTACTACATATGCCTCAGCCTTACGAATCCTCCGAGGCCACACATCTACACATTGCAATTTGTTTGCGGGACCCACCGGAAAGTTGCATATGTATGGTGTAAAATGACTTTCCCGGGCATGCTTGGAAAAAAAAAAGTAGTTTCATCGGCAAAAAAAAAAGTGAAATTTTAGTATTTATTTATTTATTGATACTAATTTTTAACGAACTTAGAAGATGATATAAATAGTACCGTAACCTCGATGGGCAGTTTTGTTAGTTAAAATTAGAAGGAACTACTACTACCCAATAATCCAATCCCAATTCCCAACTTATCTCAAATAAGAGTTTATCTTCGCGCAGACGCACGGAAAGTACGAGAGAGATCATCACTCATCAGTTTTGTTTGCTTCATCGTCGGGCATTCAATTCTGCCGTTTCGTTCGTCGAGGCTGCCGTTAAGTTGATGACGTAACTATAACTGGCTAACTGGTGCCAACTGCGCGCGCGTTCTCTCTCCGCGTCCAGCCAACGTGTACAAGTATAACGTAAATGGCGCCAATTTCACACGAGCGAGGAAAAAAAAAAGAGTTTTATACTTTTATCTTCGCACTTGACTCCTCGAATTTAGAACGCAAGCGAGCGTCCAACAAAGCAATTCAAGTGGACTGACGCAATTTGGCTGATCCACGGCTTATATGTGTTGGAGAGCAAAGGGCGTCAGCACCAAGGGCAGGTTGGGTACTGGTTGTGAGAAGTGGTCTTGGGGAATCAAATAGCCACGTCATCAAAAAATAGGTAAATGTAAATCCATTGTTGATGCAATTAGCAGTTACAGCTTTGGATGAGTGGATGCACTGCAATATTGTGGGGCTGAAACAACTTATTTTATTAGAGTTCTTTTCTTACATTTGTATTTGTAATGTGCTAGATAGAAAAAGAAAGAACCCTGAAGTAATAGCACCAAGTGAACAAGAATAAGAAGGCCCACCACCCACCCATAGAGTTGAGGTTTCACCAATACGGGAAAAAGTTAGATGTAATTGTATTGTAATAATTGACCCCTTTCCGATTTTTGTTATTATCCTACTATTTTTTATTAGATTTAAAAAAAAAAAAGAAAGAAAGAAAGAAACAACCCTCCCCATCACAGTCACTTTTATTTATACGGATCTTGAATTTGCTTTACTTGGAGTTCGGCTTCAGTAGTATAAATGCCCCGTTGAATCTCCCCTAACACATAGCCATCAACTGCAGGTAATTTTTTTCTTCTTCCTCTCCATTTAAATAAAGGAGAGATACATAGGCATTCATTGACACGTGTTAGAGATAAAATGGAAGTCCAGCACATACATGGGTTCAAAAATCAAAACAGGGCCACCACATTTTTTTGGTTGCGCAATTTCTAAAGCTTTCGTCAACGCATACGTGACTGACAACACCCACGATGGTCTGGTCACGACTCACAAGCTGAGTCAGAGTTCCCTTCTCTTCACTTTTGCATTCTCTGTCTCTGTGTTCTCACCTATTCACAAAGAACGGGATGCACAGCGAGTTTGGATGATACGCAATCACCCAATCACAAAGAACATCTCATTGTAATTTATGAGTGCTGGTGTATGTTTGCAATGCTCATTGGAATTGTTATTGTTTATTGGCACCAAATCTGGTCTCATGAGCCACGGGATACTGGACCAATCAATAGTACTTAACACATCACTGTTGTATACATATGGAATCCACACCTTGTGTGTACGAATACTGACTGGCATGTTCACTCTTGATTGGTTCCGTAATCCACCTTCTACGCTATTATTTGTAACTCAATAAAGTAAAAGGGAAAAGAGAGAACGAAATTTTGCTCCAACATGACGTAAATGGGGCTTAACCCTTCATCAGCTGCAAAGGTACCCAGAGGCCACAACGGCAAGCAAGTTAAAAATATTATTCACAAAACCAAACGTAAACGATAAGTTTAAAAATAGAGTCAATTAGCTACACCCATTCAGTAGCTCTAACTCTTTTTTTTTTTTTTTTTTGATAAAAAAACAAGGAGCAGCTCTAACTCTAAGCGACTAAGCCCGCTATGTATGACAACTATAATACACATTTATTAATCTCTATCATCTCTCCAATTTTATTTTCACCGTCGCACTCGCACGGCAAAGAAGAACTCCGGTTGCTTCCACGTGAGTGCATTCAACCCAAATTCGTCTCGTCGCAATGGCCAATGGGACCATGTTCAGAAAAATGAAAAGCCATGGGATTTCTGAATCCAAATCCTTCCGCCAAGGAATGAAGGAAGACGATGAAATCGTCTTTTCATCAATCATCAAATAGTTACTTCATAGATGGATTGGAATCGGATCATTGGATTGCTCTTAGGAACCGGTTCCTTCCCGCTCGAAACGTGCGCCTTTCCGGACTCTGAAACACTGCAACAGCCAGCTGTTTTCTTCTCTCCTTAAAAAGAAAAGAGGTTTCCCAGAGCGACCACTACTGACTGTACGGAACAATACGTACCCTCATATCTCAACCGTTCATTGTCAATGAATTGGCTCGGACCGTACAGCGAATTCTGCTCACTTTTTCTCCGCTCGCCCACCGTCCTTCTTGGCTTCTTCTTCCAACCAATGGATGGGCTCCATCCTCCCAAAAACACCTACCCACTTCCCTTTCTCTCTCATTTCCAACTACACGTGGCTCATATCTTCACCTGTAGTAGTAGATAGACTATCCTACGACAACAACGTTTGTGCTTATGCCACGTTGATAAGTACTTGATGAGACACATACGCACACGCTCGATTTGATCCCTTCCCTTCCTTCACTTGTTCTCATCTTCCACCTCTCCCTCTCGGTCCTTTTGCTTCTTTTCTGGTACAAGAATGCCCTTTCGTTCCTCAATTATTACGAATGCTACCCTTTCGTTTTCTTTACCAAAAAACAAATGTCAACTTCTCTGGTTCCCCGTCTTTGGCGACCTACCTCTGCCGCCAACTTGGCGACCTAGTCACCTGCCTCTATCATCGACTTGGCAACCTAGCGATCTTCCTCTGTAGCCAATTTGGCAACCTACCTTTCTAGAAACTTGCCAGTTGCCTCTGAACCTTTTGGGATCACACCGTGTAACCGCATACCTTATCCTCATCCCGCCCAAATCGAAGAGAAAAGGTGAGCCTTATTAGCTAGCACGTTATCCAACTTCCAAAGCGGAACGGACCTCTACGTCATGGGCCGAGGATTTCAGGAGCGTTTCGCGAGATCCATGGTAGTCCAACTATATAAGGGCATCAGCCCCTAAGACCCAGGTAGATGCGCAATTTTTAGTTTTCAAACCTCTCTAGCTCATCACCACTCAGTTAGGCATCAAAGTCACCTCTCCAGCTCGTCACCATTCAATTAAGCATCAGAGCCACATCTCCAACTTGTCCCCATCCAGTTAGCTAGGCATCAAAGCCACCTCTCCAGCTTGTCCCCATTCAGCTAGTTAGGCATCAAAGCCACCTCTCCAACTCGTCACCACTCGATTAGGCATCAAAACCACCTCTCCAGCTTGTCACCATTCAACTAGGCATCAGAGCCACTTCTCCAGCTTGTCACCATTTAGTTAGGCATCAGAGCCACCTCTCCAGCTCGTCACCACTCAGTTACGCACCAAAGCCACATCTCCAGCTCGTTACCATTCAACTAGGCATCAGAACCACCTCTCCAGCTCGTCACCATTTAGCTAGGCGTCCAAGCCACCTTCCAGGTCGGGATTATTTAGCCAAGCATCTGAATCAGTAGCCAGCCGGGAGCTACCAAAATGTGCATCATCAATTCCCTTCACTTTTTCCATGTTACCGACCATTAATTATTTTTAATGACCAAAATAATTTTGATCCTATGTCAAATAATTGTCTAAAAAAGAAAACAGGCAAAGAGTAAAAAAAATAATCTTTTATCTTTTTTTTTTAATTTGTATGTTGATTTATCAATCTCCGTGCTAGGTAGGAACCTTAAAAAAGCAAATATCTTATATGGTTCTAATGCAAACAAAGATACCAGAATCTTTTATCACAAGATTGGACCCTATATTCAAAGGATGACATGAAATCAGGATATCCAATCTGTAAAAAGAAGTGGTCTCTGTTTTGTTTCTGCATCAAATTGCAATGTTACCCAGTAACCAGGTTTACCGATTTCGACTGCTTTGCATAAGGCAACCTTGGCGTATGGGGATGAGGCTAAACGAGAGATTTTTCAGATTGGGAAGCAACTCTCTTGGCCAAATTGGTCTGATGTTGTTTCCCTTGTGTGTGAACCAAGTAATTTGGCTTTGTTGCATGGCTTATTGTAATGCAATGTCACACAACGCTTACAAAGATGATTGAGCCCGAAATAGTAATCCATGGTGAGATCAAAAGAGCTGTAAATGGAGGGTTTGTATAATAAATTTCAGCATCACACAATTTTCATTTATGGTAAGCTCAAAGGAAAGGGGAATTATAAGCCGACGTAAACTTGGATGATTAGTAGTTTGTGAGGTACCACCACTTTGATAACACA